TATAATAATAGACAAAATATAACTAAGTTGACTTCCGAATTACGTTCTCTACTAATGAGATGGAAAAAGAGTGGCTTTATTGATGATTCCACATACAGAAAATAACTGACTTACGACTGATAGTAATCTACCTAGAGCATATGGTTTACCAAAAATCCATAAACCTAGTCCTCTAAGGATTATTGTTTCTTCAATTAACAGCCCATTATTTCTAATCCTTATTCTATTCCTTATTCTTATATAACATTATTGTTAGCAGTATATCGAAAGCTCCTAATTATATAAAAAAATGGCTTCCATTTGATCGAGAAACTAAATGAAACCCATTTTGATTCCAATTACATCACTTGATGTCTTTGTTCACTGACATTCCGGTAGAATTGGCATTAAATAGTATTAAAAAGAGATGAGATCCATATCAAAAAAGATAAAGATTCCATCAGAAGAATCGCCATCAGTCTAGTTCTTAATTCTACATTTTTTTCATTTAATAATAAAATTTATAAACAGGTTTTTGGTGCTCCGATGGGCTCACCTTGTTGCCAATTATTGCAGACACAGATATACAGGATCTTGAGGAAATAGCGATCCAAAAATTACTTGTAAATTTATTGTTCTACTTCCGATATGTGGATGACATCATTTTAGCAGCTCTATTGGATAGCACTAATATAATACTAGAAATCTTTAACTCCTTACATGTCAGATTTTAATTTACTATGGAGATCGGCATTGAGGGTAGATTGAGTTTTTTGGACACTATGATTATGGTTGACAACCATAAGATTATTTTTGATAAATACAGGAAAGTCACTTGTTCAGGGAGATTTCTTAATTTTTACTCACACCACACGTTGAATTATAAAAAAGGTGTTATCTTCGGTTTCATAAAATAATTAAATTGTCTCATTCTTATTTCTACGAAAAAAACTTGGTTGATGCTATTCATATTTTTCTAAACAATAGCTATCCTCTTTCTTTTATTTTTTCAACAATAGATAAAAGATTAAAATATCACACGCAGAAAATCCATATCAAAGAGAAGTTCTTTATCATATCTCTCAAGAGAAATTCCATATATTAAATTTATTTCTAAAGTTTCCATATATTAAATCTATCTCTAAAGTTTTTTACTTATAACATATAAATGTAATTGCAAATTATCATATTCAATTCCAAATGCATTAAAAAATCTCATAACTAGAGGTAAAGATAAACTAGATCATTTATTTAATCAAAATGTTATCTACAAAATATCTTATGAGAACTGTGAAACTAGTTATGTGGGACAAATCAAAAGAAAATTAAAAATAAGATTAAATGAACACATTTCGGATATTAATAAAAAGATTAGTTTTCCATCGGTGATGACCATCGTATTAATCATAATTTTAATTGGAAAAATGTAAAAATCTTAGATAAGAAACTATATATAATCGTATAATAAAAAATTGATCTCTGAAATGGTTTATATTAAAAAGCAAAAATTGGGACTAAACAAACAAAATGATACTGAAGCATTACCTAATTTTTATTTACTGACTTTGCAGTCTTCTTCCTCTTCCTAGTCTTTTCTTTCCTTCTCCTTCACTTCCATTATTCTTTTCCTATCTCTATTCCTCTTCTACTCTTTTAACAAGATATTATAAAACATCAGAATGTCGCTCACACGCTGTAATATAACATTAGTAATTTCTAATGGTTTTTAATTTTCTCAACTCTAATTGCATTTGCCTCTGTTAAATTAATTTGACGTATTGTTTCAATCACTGGATTATTCTGGCTAAATCTTGAGATATATGTACAATTATTTTATTTATCACGTAATATTTAATATAGTTGTCAATTAAATAAGGATATTATATATATATATACTAAAAATCTCGAATATAACGATATCATTCATTCATTGTCATTTTAATTTTTATAATCTATGATATTAATTTGATAACAGAATGTGTGCTTGCACAATTTTGCGGAATGACTTTACATGTTCATAATTTTATTATCATTACGGATAAATTGCGACCGATGTAATAGAAGAATATAACACTGCTTTCTGTCTTGTCATCTATGAAGATGACAAGAGAAAAAGCATTGTTGCGATGAAAAAACAGACATGAAATAAGTCCACCACTTTACATAACTATATATAATTTGCAAAAATTGTATTTAATCGTTTTATGATTTTTATTAAATTTGCGTTAATTTATCGACATATATACACTAAGAATGATTTGATAAATAAGTCGAAAACGTATGTGTTTTTAAGAATCTAAATATACGAAAAATTTGGCTCTTAGCTCTTCTGTTATTCATTTTTGTTTGAAATATTTCTTTTATCAAAAGTTATGAACATTTAAAATTTAAGGTAGAGTACTTTCAAACTAATGATAAAAGCATAAATTAAATAAAATAATGTTCGCAAAGATTTGCATATTTTGGGCTGATTGCCGGGCGAGCGACCCCCATCGCTCGAGACTCGATGGTCGAGCTGCTGAGTGCTCACGTGACGCTCTGACTCAGGAGCGTTTCTATACCAGAAATATACTGGGAGCGCACCTTCCGCCAAATTATAATTGAAACATGTTTTTTTACTGAATAATTTATAGTCAGAACGTCACATGAGCGCTGCGGCTCGGCTGCCGAGCCTCGAGCGATAGTACGGGTCGCTCACCGGAATCAGTCCAAAATGTAAATCTTTGCGAGCACTGAAATAAAAGATTTCGTTATTTTTTTGTTTCTTTTTATTGTATTAAATGTTCGATCTGTCGACCATTCAACATTTATTAATTCTTTCTATAAATTTGTCTAAACAATATTTCTGTTGGGGTCATGCGAGCTTCATGTATTCTTCGTTTTAAAACTTCTCACATTAAGTAGTAAGTAATTTTTCTGGAAATAGAGGGAGATTGCTCAGTAGATCATGTGTATTTGTATTTATTATATATACTTTTCCAGTTAATATGAAGAACTCTATGTCTTCTAATAAAAACAAAGATATTAACTAAAAAAAACATAAACACTTATACATTTATTGGAAAGTGTAAATAAAAGTTTTATGGTTAGTTCTAAGGTGATTTTCATGCTATTAATATCGAAAATCTTGAAAATGACTCGATTTGACGTGGAAGACGATATGTTGCTGATTTTGGGAGAAAAAATTTCGTTGCAGTACAACTATTTTTTGAACGTTATGGTATCGAAAAATTGCATGTGGTATTTGCTTGTGTGGAAAAACGTTTACGCGTGCATGACCAACTAAGCACAATTAAAAGACAAAAAGCAAATCCAGTAGTTAATAATGATAACAGTGTCAACACGGCAATTGAAGTAAATCGACATATCAACGCGAATTAGCAAACACATCTGGAGTTACACGATCATCAATACAGAATATTGGAAATACAAAATTTTCATCCATATCATTAATTTTGAATATCAAAAATTTTTGGAAGTTGATTTTGAGCATTGTTTAATATTTTGCGGGGATGCGTGATAGAAAATTTATCTTTGCAAAACATTTCTGATGATGCACAATTTATCAACATTGGGTATATTATTGTAATAGACATAGTATGCACTATACACTATTGATTACATGAGAATCTTAAATGGATATATATAGTTGCTTTATAATATAATATCATTGATCACTAAATGTATAGTGTGGAATAATTGGCGATTTTGTAATTGGATCATACTTTTTTGATGATACTGTTAATACTAAATTCTATTGTGATTTATTGAGCAATCATCTTCATCTAATTCTAGAAGAATTACCGCTTAACTGAGAAGAAAAATGTGGTTTCAACAAAATGATGTCTTTCCTCATTTTTCTAAAGTTACGCGTACTTTTTTAAACAAAATATTTGGTGATAGGTTGGTGGTCCTGTTCAATAGCCTCCTTGTTCACCTGATCTTACATCTTTGAACTATTTTTTATAGTCGCTATGTCAAAGAGAAAGTCATGTTTGAATCACTTATGACAAAAGAAGATTTAAAACGAAGAATACGTGAAGCTTGCGCTAGCATGATCCCAGAAATGTTGTTTAGAGTTACACAAAATTTTATAGAAAGAATTAATAAGTGAATGTGATTGAATGTTTGAATGTGAGTGGTCGACAGATCGATTTAATATAATCAAAAAAAACAAAAAATAATGAAGTCTTTTATTTATGTTTTTATCATTAGTTTGAAAGTACTCTACCTTAAAGTTTAAATATTCATAGCTTTTGATAGAAGAATTTTCGAAAGAAATATTTCAGACAAAGTTTATTTATTTTTCCCGTAGAATTCTAATATGTAATATTTTATAGAAAGTTCCATTGGAAACTTTAATATTGCCCCTCTTCAAGAGGAGCGGGAGCAGATTTTTGTTTACATTAAAATCAAATAGATAAAACTTTCTCATGAACAATTTTTTGATAGGACAAATATTTTTAAAATTATTAGCTTATAACACTTTACGTGAGCCACCTATATTTGTGTTCCTGTTGAACGATTCTTTCTATTCCAATCCAAATGGCTTTAATTCTTTTTATATGAATTTTTTATATTGCAATTCATTCAAACACGTTTCCTCTTCCAATCACATTTTCTCTTTCAATATAACTGTACTTTCAATATAACTGTACTTGGCTAATGATAATTCAAATAGTCTATCTTTTCGTTAACCTTAAAAAAAATTTTGCTAGTGCGTAAATTTAATAATAAATAATAAAGACGGAAAGATATGAGAATGATGTAAAATAATTTTCTCTTTTTTTTTATTACTCATTCGTTACAATTGGCACACGATCAGAAATCAAAAATCCAAAAATCAACTCAAAAATATATAAATCGCCTTCCTCCTTGATGAATGTCTAAAATCTGCTAGTGATTGTAATAATTATCTTTTTTAAAAAGTTATAATTATACAGAAATTTTAAAAAATTCTAAGAAAAATTTTTGCTCGAGTATCGTGAATAAAAAATTAACCGAATATTTTTAATACATAGGTTTGTAGTGCCATTCAAAACCAAGACTTCACATTGATAGATGATTACGTGACCGGTTTGAAAACGTTGTTATACCTAAAGAGCTTGGTACAGGCAAAAGATTGGAATGGACAGAGCCCACCGACATTCAAACACCAAAAGGGCAAACCCATATCCTTGCAACACGCCCTTGGCAAAGTAAGAATTATCAGTTATTAATATCTGCATAAATAAAACAAAATAGTTAAAAAAATACTTCTGCAGAATATACCATATTTCGGCGAATATCAAAGGCTGCGTGAGCAAAAAATAGCTGAACTAAAAGCGAACTCGAATCCCTTGAATAAGATCGTTAAGGCGATGCGACCGGCTCTAGAACCAATTGCGCCGATACCTACTGTTAAGGACATAATCGGCAAAGCATTAATTCATATTGGCAGCTACAACGAATTGGACAACAAGAAGCAAGTGGTCGCCTTGATTGATGATGTACATTAAATAATGTTTTAATCACTCAATTTATTTTATTGTTAAAATGCAATATTGTATTTACTTGCTATTATTTCCAGGACATGTGCATAAATTGTGGCAAGTGTTATATGGCTTGCGCGGATTCTGGATATCAGGCCATCACCTTTGATCCCAACACTCACATTCCAATGGTGACAAATGATTGCACCGGTTGTACGCTTTGCTTATCCGTCTGCCCAATTATCGATTGTATCACGTAAGTTGCAAGTACATCTAATTTGTTTTATTACGCTTCTCTGTTTCAAATGTCTGGTTTTTCAATTTATTCTTATTCATTTTATTTTCAGTATGATCCCGAAAACGATTCCGCATGTAATTAAAAGGGGAGTGTCGCCGAAGAATGTAATCGAAATTTGTTAAACAATAGATTTACGTTTCCGTCAAAAAAGATATCATTATTATATCATTATTTTACGTACAAATAATTGATTATGGAATTATTGTTATATCAAACAAATAAATAATGTTATATATGAAGTATTTCACGTAAAAATGAACAATCCATTTTTCAAAACATTCCAAATTTTGACGAAATTTACTAAAGTTAATGGGTTTGAGGATACAATCTGTTGTGCAAAATTTTAGACTTTTAGTTTAACTAATTAAGTAGCCGCAAAAGGAATAATAAATTTTATGATTTGTTGTTGTTTATATATTATGTCTTTCTCGATTTTTTTTATAAAAAATGAAATTAATAAAATAAAGTTAATACCGTTAATTTCCCATAAAAAGAATGCCTACTCTTTCAAGTGATGATGCTCTATTTTGAGTAATTCTTCATTATTGTGGCATAATTTACTTATATTATATATTTTATTATAGATTGAGATGGTTGTACAAATAATTATAAACATAAAATTATAAACATAGGTCTCGGGCTTATAAATTTCGCTAATCTCGCAGTACATAACGTCGACTTTTCCTTCTTTTCGTCGGAGACGACTGACTCTCTTTTTCCCGAGGGTCGTCACCGTATTTCCCAAATACAAATAAATATCTTACGATTGACTTCAATTTTACCAGCTTGAACTGTCCCTCGCAAGTCATTACCAGATAAATACATGTACATATACGAATATTCTACATTATTATTCCTATATAAAGATTAGCGTTTCGCGGGTTCTAAGAATGGATCTGGACATGGAGGAAATCCGCGAAATGCATAATCTTTATATAGAAAGCATTCGTAGAAGATTGAGACTTCCATGAGAAGCAATACAAGCCTATTATTATTATTCCTATTTAAACGTTTTAAATCTTTAAAATTAATAATCGCGCAATAATGAGAAACTAGTATTGATTTTTGTTTTTAATACTCTAAATATAATATTTTACTCTAAATATAATATTTTATGTCAATTTTAACGTACAAAATCACAATCTGGGGAGGCCCAGTCATTTTTTAGATATAATAATTTTAGAAAGACAGCGATACAGGATAAAATGTGTATCCAAGTACTCAGTTACGCGCATTGTGTCACGTCAGCATTTTTCGAGAATTTCAAGTATGATATATCAACAATTTCATAGCAATAGAGAATTAAGGTTTAACTTCGCTGAGACACTGCGTAAATTGTTTTTAAATTTTTCATTACGATTTTGTTTCACATGTCATACTTGGATAGTGCTGGTTTAGATAATATTTCATATGAAATAAAAGCAATCACATAAAATTGTGACGTTCTGTTGAAATGTTTAAATAAGAATTCTTTTCTGGTCAAAAAAATCTTGTCCCGAATCGAATATCGGATTTCGAATAGAGTTTTTTTATTATTATGAATTAAACATTATTGGATCACCTGCGAATAGAAAGAAATTTAATATGTAGCTATGCAAGTGATCAATCAGGTCATATAAATAAATGTATGTTTACTAATTCATATTTAACATTTCTTAGTATCAAAATAACACAATTTGTAAATAAATTAACAAATGATATAAAAGTAATGTGATTTATGATGTAAATTCTAAGATAAATGAATAAAATATGGATCTGGAGACAGGTTTCTCAATGCTAAGCCAAGCGCAACGATACTACTATATCGTGTTTCCTTTATGCGAGCCGGTAAGTTGTGAGAGATCGAGATTATTGAATGAAATTATGAATCTTAATAAAGGCTGAATAAAGGCTGATCAAGTTCTAAGTGTGCTCAATCGATTGCATCCGCTCGGAATAATATAATAAATATAATAAAAATGTTTTTATTTTTTTCTCTACGTGCCCTATAAGCGGATATTGCGATCAAAATCTGAATCTTTAATTTTTAAAATGCATTGTTTGTCATTATTAACGTCCTCAATCAGCAGACAATGTTTTTTAAATATTTTGTGGAAGAGTGTCGCTTAATTAAGGAGGATTTCACAAATTAAAATATATTACCCTTTATTCAGTTTTATACATTATATAGAGATACCGAAAAGTACCTTATGCTATTTATTATGGCGCTCTGCGGCGCGTATAAAGTGTGTGTGTGGGAGCTAGTGTATTATGTTTCTTCCTCGGAGTCCTCGGAGTCAGAGTCGGTTCCAAAGAGCTGGTATGTCAACCGCGAGTTGATCCTTCTCCTATTTCTTCATCTCGGTATCTTCGATTGAATGGGCGTTACCGGCAGAGGGTTAATCAGCAGCCCGTTTCCAACTCCCACAATTCTTTAGGCAGCAGTAGCAATGGTACTGGCGGCGATAAGGTGCTCGTGCTTGTTGATGCAGGGATTGTGGATCCCTGATGATACTCTCTCGTGGGAGCTCTAGCAGTATAAGCTTCCATGGAAGAAGAGGATCGAATAGCTAATACCCGGATCGAATGGCTTTTCCACCTTCTCCATCGGAAGTCCCTCTGGTGTGCGAGGGGGATCGGAGTGATCCCGGCGCTTCCGTGGCAGTACGTCTCTTGTTGTCAAGAAGTAATTATCGCAGAGGCCCGAATGGGGCTCGCTCTGCTTCGTGAAGATCCGAAGAACTCGCTTCACAAGGATATATCTAATGCTAGAGTAGAGGCCATTATCGAGCTCACTCTAGTGAGAAGATGCTGAAGACCTCCCGCAGAGTCCTACTTCTATGAATAATGAATCATTCTTTCGGGTTACTGCTGTGCTGCGTGGTCGCGTAGTCCTCTCGCGGTGGTCGAAACTCGCGCCGGGCGGATGCTTGGTCAGCGTTAAGTGCGGATGAGCGACTCAGGAGTGGCGCAGATCGCGTGCGCGCCCCGGCGACTCGATTAGTGGTGTTTTAAGCCGTATATCATATGTCTTTAAACGTTTATTTTTCATTTTACATTTTTCATAATTCATTTTCAAAATTCATTAATTTAACGTTTATTAAACATTTTACATTATAATTTTTCGTTTGAAATAAATGATTGAAAAAAACATTATTTTAACATTTATTTAATATTTATTTTAAATTTAATTTTTATTTGAAATAATAGTTGAAAAAATATTTTTAAACGTTTATTTAACGTTTTTATTAAATGTTTATTTTACTAGATTATAAAAAAATTAAAATTTTATTCTGAACATTAAGCTTTAATAAATATTTATAATAAACATTGAAAATGTTGTAACACATTATGTTTAAAACATTTATTATAAAACAAGTCAATAAAAATGTATTTAAAAAAATGTATAAAAAATGTTAATATCGCCCCTACATAAAATTGCACAAAAGTTGCAGCAATATTGCAGAGATTTTGTAGCGATATTGCTGCAAATTCTGTGCTGTATGAGCGTTATAGAAAATGTTTATACACTATATAAAAAGAATAATAGCTCTTCCATGCTAGAATACGAATACCGAATTCTGCACCGTTATGATGCAGTAACGATGGGAATTCTACATATGCCGAGATAATGAGCGAGTGAAATCCGGAGTGTCGTTGGAGGATCTTGGAATTATGGACACATTATGGATACATTAGAATTAGAAAGGCCCAGACTGGTGATTTACTAATTGAAATACCGGCAGATAGTTCCGTCCCTAAACAGGCAGACAAATTGGCGGAGCGCCTCAATTCTCTTTTTCAAAGAAGAAGAGAGGAGAGGAAGTTAAAATAGTGCGACCTACGAGGAAGGTAGAATTTCGCCTCCTCGATTCAGAGTACTACTTAATGACTTCGGAGGGTATCGCGTCGTGACAGAGCAAGATGCCTCTGAAAGATATTCGTATGAGCCGCTGAGGCAGAGAAGAGGCGGTCTTAACTGCGTGGAGTAGTGGAGTAGTGCCCTTCACAACTGTGCAGAGTTGTTGTAGAAGGATGGCGTTCTGCGCATTGGTTGGTCAGGGATGTGGATGATATCCTTGGCAAAAAGAAAACTGCAATGCTACAAGTGTTTCGCAGTTGGTCACACGCAAGTCAACTGTAGGAGTGCTATCGACAGAAATAGTAATTGTTTTAATTGCGGGCATACGGTGATTGGATGTAAGGCTACTATCTCACTATCCTATATGTGCCTCTAGGAATTTGCCTGCTAACCATAAGGCTGGTAGGAAGGGATGTGGCCCTTATAAGAGCCTTTGCGTTAGATAATTCAGGTTATCGAAACGATTAATAATGATGAAGATAGTCGGATACGCGATGAACTAAGATCTGTTGTATCTTTGGCACGAGAGGTTCCCCCTGCGGAAGAGGGCATAGCGATGAATTCTCCCAATGGCTAATATTGATTAATGTCAATAGGTCGAGGACTGTGTAGGATTTTATCACGCGAGTGTGGAGAGGAACAGCTAGGTCTGATGACAATGTTGGAACATTCGATTCTCGTCGATGGCATTTTTATTAAATAATCCGCTGATTACTGCCTTGGTCTGACAATATTCTTGTTTTGACGAGCCGTTTTCCCTTATTTAGGAGAGAGATACGGCGGTTGAATGGGGGAGGGGGGAGGGGGGAGTGGTAGTGTAGCTGCTACTTCTTCTCCAACATACCGGAGATAAATTTTGTAAGAGGGCTGCATGATCTTGGCGCGTGGATCTCAGCAACCGAAGACCATTGCTGGTTTTGGGAAATTTTTCAATGCCCAATCTTCCGAGTAGGAGTGTAAATCGTAGAAGTAAAATTCTCTTGGACTGGGCGGGGAATTTTTTTATCTGAATCTTCTTTTTAATCTTCCTTAATAGTGGCTTCGAGCCCATCCGCGTGGTAGGGCCTGCATAGACTTCTCAAAGTTTCGCTTGTCAGTGATTGCTACGGCGTGTTGCAGTGGACATCGAGTCTCTCTCGGATCATCAATATGTCTTCATAAGGGTGCGGGAACGGATTGCTGGCCTCTCAGGAGGGTCATGGCTGCTAAACACTTCCCAAAAGATGTAGTAGCAAGCTCAATGCGGATATGTTGGTCGCGGCTAACTTAAAGGCGTGATCCTCCCCTCGTGAAGATATGGCGGTGAATG